TTCCATTATTTTCTGATATTTTCTATTAATCTATTTCATTGTTCAAATAATGGATAGGAACAATTTAGTGAAAATTTTAGTTTAGAGAAAATTAAATTTAAAATGCTAAGAATTGTAATACTAAATAAATGAATTAACATTGTCGGATAAATTGTAAACGTGTAATTGTTGAATGGAATGAAATTTGTATTCATCAAATTTTGTAAAAAAAAAAAGAAAAGAAAAAAATCAATCATATAAGACGCTTAAAAGGTATATTTAATTTTGTACCAATTTCAATTAATATTTAATAAAATTTCAAATTTGTATTGAAGGAAAAAAATAATCTCACGTAATTGACGTGATGGCATCAAACGTCAGTCGTTTCGGTCAATTAATATTTCGAACAATACCAAAGCAGTCAAAACGATGTCTCGTAACTGCACCTGCTGTTTCAAACGGTATTCAGGTTAGGGAAGCAATCCGGCAAGCTTTAGATGAAGAAATGGCTGCGGATAAGCGAGTATTCTTGTTGGGTGAAGAAGTGGCACATTATGAAGGCGCTTACAAGGTGTGTTTAATTTTACCCAATTTCAATCAATATTTGATAAAATTTTAAACTTGTAAAAAGAATATAAAAAAAATCATAATTTTATGAGAAATTTAGAAAGAAAAATCATTAATGCTTGTATTTTTTTTTCAAAATTTGAAAATTTTACACATTATTGATTAATTCATTTGATATTTTTTTTCAAAAAAAAAATTGATTTTAGTACTGAATTGTATTTTTTATAAATTTGAAATATTTTGATTAAAATAAAGCATAGGGTTTAAAGTTATATTAAAAAATCTCTTAGCATAGCATAGAATATCAATGTTCACTGATAATATTGAAATGCATCATTTAGTAAAAATTGATTTATAGAATTTTAAATTACAGAACATTAAATTTTACAGAAATTTAAATGATAGAAAAGGATTTATAGAAATTATAGAAATTTATAGAGTTTTAAATTTTATAGAATTTATAGAATTTTAAATATAAAATTTTTTATAGAAATTTTATAGAATTTTAAATTTTAAATTGTTACAGTGCTCAAAAGGTATTATGAAAAAGTATGGTGAGAAACGATGCTTTGATACACCAATTTCGGAAATGGGTTTTGCTGGAATGGCTTGTGGTGCAGCATTTTTGGGTCTTCGTCCAGTTTGCGAAATGATGACTTTTAATTTTTCAATGCAATGTATTGATCATATTATTAATAGTGCAGCGAAAACTTATTACATGTCAGCTGGTCGAGTAAATTTTACCTTCGATTTTAAAAATTTTTTTTTTTTAAAAAGATTTTAAAAATTTAAAAATTTTACTTTCTAAGAAAAAAAAATGTGTTATTACTTAAAATAGCTCCTATAATATTTTCATATATAAAACCTTCAGTAAATTTGACTAAAATGATGACTAAATATTTCGTTCTTTCATTACTTTTTAAGTTTAAACTTAAAAAATATCTTTTCTAAATATTCCGTTCTTTTGTTACTTTTTAAGTTTAAACTCAAAAAATATTTTTTCTTTCGACATTTTTTTTTCCCATTATTTTTGCAATTTTTTTTTTTTACCTATAAAGCTAGTAATAACTAGCAAATACTTTGTGATTAAAAAATTTCAAATTTACACATAAAAATTTATTCTATATAATTAGGTAAATGTACCAATTGTCTTCCGTGGACCAAATGGTCCAACACCTGGTGTAGCAGCCCAGCATACACAAGATTTTTCGTCATGGTTCGCTTTCTGCCCTGGTTTAAAAGTTTGTTTCAAATGTTTAATTACATTTTAAGCATAAAATCATTTTGCTTGTTTTTTTCCTTTCTTTCATAAATTATTCATTTTAACTTTTTAAAAATTTAAATAATATAATTTGATAATTTTAAACTAGTTCTTCCATCTCCTTATTATCCACTATTATTAAAAATTCAATCGATGATAATTCAAAACTTGCAAATGTATATGAGCCTTATTTAAAAGGCTATTGTTACAACATATCTGACGCATCCTAATATTACTAATATCGCATAGTTATCAATATATCATCATATATTTGCAAAAAGATTTTTTTTTTTCACTTAATAAAAATAAATTATAGGTTGTAATACCGTATAATTCTGAAGATGCAAAGGGACTTTTAAAAGCTGCTATTCAAGATGATAATCCAGGTTAGTATTCCATTTGTTTCTAAAAATGATGATCATTATGATCAGCAATTATGATCGTTCATTTGATCACATAAAAAGTTTAATTATTCGTTTTGGATTGTCATTCCAAAATCATCTCATCTATTAAATGTTTGTGGCAGATTTTTAACAAATTTTTAAAAATAAATGAATCCGGAAAATATCTTCCAACATGTGCAATAAATGACTTTTTTTTTTTTCAAATTATGAATTTTACTTTTCATAAATAAATTTTCAGTTGTAATGCTGGAAGATGAAATTTTGTATGGACATACATTCCCGGTGTCACCAGAAGTTCTTTCTTCGAATTTTGTAATTCCAATTGGAAAAGCAAAAATTGAAGTACCAGGCAAAGATGTCACCATTGTTTCGTATGGTAAATCGATGGCCCAAGCTTTTGATGGTACCGAAAAGTTAGCTAAGCTAGGCATTAATGCTGAGGTTTCATGTTAACTGCTTAATTAAAATTTAATGCATTACAATTCCTCATTCATAATAATCCGTTTAAATTAAGAGAAAAAATACTTCTGTCAGAGATTAACTAAAATCAAAATAAGATCAAAGGTGAAAAGATTCAATGTCATATTTTAAGTTAATAAATTTACGATCGCTTCGGCCAATGGACAGTGAATGCATCAAGAATTCTGTGAAGAAAACGCGTCGTTTAATAACTGTTGAAGTTGGTTGGCCATTCTGTAATATTGGAGCTGAAATAAGTGCTCAAGTAAGTTATTGGAATTATAAAATGAATCCAATATTTGATGAAAATTATATCATATCATCAATAAGAAGACTTTACTTTTTTTAGTTTAAATATTTTAACGAAAAAATTCAACCATTTGGGAAAGAAAAAAGAAAAGTTGCATCGGAAAACAAACATCTGTCGTAAGGCGTTCCGAAAATTTTACACTTCTGAAACCATCCAGCATCCTGGCAATACCAAAGATTATATGAAACAAACTTCAAAAGGACTAATCGTAAAAATAATCATTATAATAATAATAATAATAATAATAATAATAATAATAATAATAATAATAATAATAATA